GACCATTATGATCCTATTAGATCCTTCATTTACAGCTGGTGGTAGCCTGAAGATTTTATTTTTAAAAAATTATATCCTACCCCGCCCTCCAGGTTAGCTTTATCCCTCATCGAAGTAATTTAAGCAACCTATAGCCAGGCAGAGAAGTTGGACAAAAATATCTGAGAAATGTATCGTGTTGGAAGTGCAGCTGCAGTGTTGATCCTTGATCACAGAAGACTGGCTGAAAGTGTTTCTGGATATTTAGAGACACATGCTTAAATGTGTTAAAATTGTAAGCATAAGATGTTTGGCAAAACTTTTAAAGAAATATGTGTTGATATTTCTTTGGGGTGGTATTTTTACTATTTCTGTGCTACAGGAAAGAGTGGTCCATGCTGTTTTATATTAGATTCTGTTTTTGTTGAATATTGCTTTTACAGTACTAGAAATGCCATCTGGAGTGATTCTGGAGTGTGTGAAGAAATTAAAATGAACCTTATGAGAATTCAATTTTTTTTTTCCTTTGCTGCAATATTTTAGCAATTTGTACACTAGAAAAAACTGCTACTCCCTTTTCAGATTTTAAAATGTTGATACTTGATTGAGTTGTAAGCATTCTTAATAAAACAGAAAAAAAGAAACTAATTCTTCTAAATTGTTTAAGAGGAACACATATGTAAATGAGTGCTTTAGAGAGTTTTTTTAATCTTTCAAAATGAATCCCTCATCAAAGATTTTAACAAGTTCTTGACACTGAGCTGCTTTAATCCTACTGGAAAATTGGGTTGTTTTTAGTATAATTTTATGTAGTGCCACCATTGTTATGTAAAAGCAGCATCTTGCTTGCATATAGTGTTTTCTGCCATAATTTAAATTCCTTCTAAAACATTATGACATGGGATAAATAATCAAAGAACTTAAAATGTTACATTTTGTATAACGTTTATTTACCTACTAGAATGTTTCGTTACATAGTAAGTTTATGCTTTAAGTAGCCATTAATTTAAAAGTAATTACTTTAAATAAGCATCTCTTTCCTTGTTTTAAATCACTTTCCTATTTAAATTTTAAGTGTAGTGCTTGAATATAACTTCTATCAATTACCTTTTCCAGATACATATGTAAATTGTTATTTGGATGTGTTTTTTAAATGTCTTTTGCATCATATCTTTTATGTCTCAGCATATTTTTCTGGATTTCGTTTAGATTTTAAGTCATTAGAATGGCTGTATGTAAGTTGTTGATTGGGCTCTGGGCTTTCTGTTAATAAGAGATTAATAGAGGCTTCTCAATGCTTAGTGTTTAACGAGTGTTTTATCAACTATTGGGTTCATGCTCTTCTCTCTACCTCTTTTCCAATAAATGAAAGGTTGTTTTTAAAACAATATTTATATGCTTTTCTTCCCCCCTCCAGCCCTATCTGCTTTGATATGATTGAAGAAGCTTACATGACAAAATGTGGACACAGTTTCTGGTAAGGTTTCTTGATACAACTGTTTAGCATGAGAGATATATTTATAAAATTAAGAAGTGTGAACTAAAGTTATTTTGTTAAATGCACCTAATCAGTAGGGTAGTTTTTCAACAAACAGTATGAAATGAATTAACATTTTTATTCTGAATCAATATCTTCATTAGAGGCATCCTGAGGCAGCTTAAAATATTATATATTATGGTATAACTTGTTTTGCATTGTAGAAATGACGTGTATTACATGACCAGTGAAATGTGTCATGTTTTTTTTTTCTTCTACCACATGGGCATTGATGAGTATTCATAAGACATTAAAGTTATACAACAGTTACTGAATGCACAATAAAGAAACACTTGAATTTAATATTTATCTACTCATATTAAATTTAATATTAAACTATAAGCAAAAACAAGCTTGTGTACTGTTGAGACTTTGGATGTTGCACAATGCAGAAAAAATGAGAATCTGTAATTTTTATAGAATTTTAAATCCGTTTATGTGTCTGAAATAATTATTATAGATACTTAGAACCATATGTTCAAAAGTTTAATGATGACAACTCAGTAGTTCTAACTGTTTAGAAGATAAGCAATTACGATCATGCTCATTTTATGAATTTGAATTTGGATAGTAAAACGTTAGTTTGATGTGGACATAAATTCTATCACTACATTTGTGGCCTTCTGATTTTGAATGAGTGCCCACTATCCAAAAAACTTCGTTGCAGTTTGCAGTATTTTTGAGAAAACTTTATGATTTGTGGGTTATAGACATCAACCTGAGATAAGTGTGAAGCCTGGATAATCCTATTTGTTTTGATTTGGGAAACTTAGTTTCTTATCTAAATCCTTTTCATAAAATTGTTATGAATGGTTTCTGCATACTTCTTGAAAGCTACAACCAAGAATTCTTTAAGAGAGATACATTATGCAAGGCTGTGATGTTCCTTAAGAAATAAAAGTCTTAATTCAAGGTTGTAAAATTCCTAGATGCCTAAACATTGGCAGTAATGTGTAAGAATTTGAAATATTTTCTACATTGTTGTAGAAGCTTCCTGGATTGATATGTCTGAAGGGTGCTGTGGAAAGGATATATTGCTTTGGTAGTAGTTTTATGTGTGTTAATTTCAGTCATGAGAAAGAGACTATTGCTAGGTAGTAGATGAGAAAAGACGCTGGAAGAAACTGGTTCTATTCCACTTGAGTTTTTCCTACTTCTGCTACTTAGTGCTAGTTTTTTTTAATCCTTTGGAGACTTCTATGAGCAGAAGTATTCCTTTTCTCTCTGCAGTCCCTCTACACCTGTTATTGAATGTTGGGGAGCCTTTTAGAACAACATGGGAAATGGCTGCAGAAGAAAGAAGTTGGGAGAGGGGGAAGTCCCCCTTCCCCGAAGATCATACTGTTATGGCAGGGGATACAGGTAGTCCTCGAGTTACAACTGCAATTGGGACCAGGATTGCTGTCGCTAAGCAATGCAGTCAAAAAGTGTGATGTCATGTGACTGCATGGCTTAGCAACTGCAATCCAGGAGTTGTAACCCAAGATGCACGGGTTGTTAAATAGGAAGTGGAGGGTGTTCCAGGTAAGGAGCATAGTGCCGGGGTGGGGGGAAGGCCCAGCGCAGGCCATGTGTGAGTCGGGGAGGGGGTGCCTGGTGCAGTGCAAGCTCAGAAAGGCTAGGGAATGAGAGCATGGGGTGCATGCATGTGTGATTGCAAGGAGGCCGAGGAAAGAGGGTGTGGGGCGTGTGTGAGTGAAGGGGGGAAGGCGGGCGCAGTGCGAGCAAAGAAAGGCTGGGAGGAGCGGAGACTTACCCAAGCAATATGCAACCTTCCTTGCCCGCTTCCTATTGACTTTGCTTGGGGGAAGCCGGCAGGGATGGGCGCAAATGGTGATCATGTGACTGTGGGATGCCACAACTGATTGTAAGTGCGAGCTGGTTAACAGGCACCCAACTTTTGTACACATGATCGCGGGGTGCTGCAATGGCTAGAACTTCAGTTGTAAGTCCCTTTGTTCAGCACTATCATAATTTTGAACAGTTGCTGAATGAATGGTCATAATTTGAGGACTACCTATATGTGGATGTAATTCACAGGTTACAACTAATGTTACATCAATAGGTTTCATCTTATTCTCCTTTCCTTTAAATGCCCAACTCTTTAGTGATGTTTGGAAAAATAGAATCTATTCTACTGATTAGTGCTTTTCCATCAGTGAATGGGCAGCACTGAATATGACTGACTACAATTAGAAGTGAGTGGTCCTGTTCCTGTTAGGGATAGGAGTGATATTAATAGTGTGTTCTGTGAAGCCAATTCATATATGCATGGCTGTAGACAAAAAACTACTGAAATAACATATGAAAAGAATTTGGTGGATGGAACAGGACTGGACAAATACACTCTTATAAGTCACCATTAATTCTTCAAAGCCGGCAGTGGTTTTTAAAGTTCCAGCTCTTAAAACCTGATTTTTTTGAATTGGTGTGTCTCATCAAAAGTTTGGATGCATACAATTCTTTCTGCACTCTTGTATGTTTTGAAACATCTTTGAAGATAAGTCTATGTTGCAGGCAATCAGTATTTTAAAACTTAACATCCAATATTCTTTCTATTCTCTCTTTTGTTGTTGTTGTTAGTAAGAAGATATTATTAGTTACAAAAAGAGAAAAAAAATCTTCTCTTTTCCCAGAACTTGAAGATGAAATCTACCTGCTTTATTGATTTGATTTATCTTTAACACCAAGCCATCTGGTGCCACAGCTCTACTTCCTCGTGGAACTGAATTGGTGCAGTGTATTATACTGTGTTTTCTTATAGTTCTGTCCTGTTAATTTTCTTGAACAGTTACAAGTGTATTCATCAAAGCCTGGAAGATAACAACAGATGTCCCAAATGTAATTATGTTGTGGATAACATTGACCATCTATACCCCAACTTTTTAGGTAAGTTTTAATGCTCAGTAATATAACCCTGAATCATTATATCTTGGTAACATTCTCAATATTGCTGGATGTTTATTTCTTTAGTATGCTTCACATGCTTCTGTTGATTTTGAACAACTGGTTCTATGTGCTACATCTCTGGGTATGTGGTATCTGAATTTCTGTCTCCATCATCCATCTAGCCTCTAGAGGTTACAGAGTACTTGGGTAACTATGAAGCTATGTAAAGTCTTCAAAATTCAGATTCTTGATTAGGATTAATTCATACAAATAGAAGAGAAGATGAAATACTTCTCTAGCAAAAAAGGTAGGTTTCGTATCTTAGGATATAAAAATCACTCCAGCATTAAGAGGGCCATCTTTGCAAAACAATAGGTGATGCAGTCGAGAGAATCTATGATGGACCATGGATTGTGAAAGCAAAAGAATTGAAGACAGTTAGTAACCAAATGATTCCATAATGCTTAATCACCTTATCTGATTTTGAGAAGTGAAGAGGGGAGGATGAAGCTCAAAGTAGGCCTTATGCTTAATGAATTGTATACTTGGCATAATATCTTCTTGCAGTCATAGTGCCTGGGAAGAAAATTTAATCCTTTGCTCCCAAGATCTTGATAAGTTTTCACCCATGTTGCCGACAGTATTTTTTTTTAAAAAAAGGAATGACTTAGTTAGGCATCAGTAGTAGAGTTTATCTTAAGGTTAATTGCAGTGTATCTTGGGGCAAGGTATTTTAATTGGGGTTGTGGCTGTGAGGAATTAAATTTCCTGTCCAGTTGTTTCTTTATTTCAGCTTTATTTTTTAAAAAACGATGTGTTATAGTTGTCCAAGATACATTTACTCTGAGATGTAATTTGGCCCTCATACTATAGTGGAAGATGCATAATTCTTTTTCCGAAAAAGAGTAGACTTTATTATTTCTAAAGTTAGAGCTTCCAAAACCTCCCAAGATTTTGGGGTATAATTTCTGTCGTATAGCTATGAGAGAGCTTCACAATATAAAGGAACCAATTTAAGGGTAGATTGCTTTAGGGTATGAATACCAACTTTTTTGGTATTATCAGTTGGGACTCAACTGATTGGCAGATCACAAAAGGCTTGCTGGTGATATCACCAGAAAGGGATGAACCAAATATTTTCAGTTGTTTTTGTTTCTCTTTCTCCTGCCAATATGGATTAACAAACTTTTTCTGTTCATTTCTTGGAAGTAGTGGTGTTTGCATGGTGTTTTGATAATAGTCTTCTCTGGTCTCAGATTTTTTGCTAGTGATCTTGCCAGCCCTCAAACTACTGATCAATAATTTATTTTAAACAATTATTTCTGTTTTATGTAATGATAAACTAGAAATTGGGAAAAATAGAACTGAATTATAGTTTATTCCTCTTGGTTTTGTGTGAGTAGGAGAGAGAATGCGTGAATCTAATGTGGAGGGTAGAAAAAAGTATAAGAGTGTAATTCTGCTTGTATATCACGTGAATACATCCATTTTGTATATTTGACAATATGTAATTAAAATTATAGATTTATTAGAACAGCAACTGTAAGATCATTTCTGTATGTGATAGGGGAAAATGGTGCTTATGGTGTATAGTTTAATATAGATAATGTGGATTGGGACATATTCCATGAAATGTGATTCATTTTCAAATGCTTTGTTTCATAAAATTAATTAGTAACATAATGAATAAGTCACACTGAACAACTGGAGGTGTTAAAATACAAAGAAGTTAACATCTGCTCTAAGGCTATTGTGTACAATAAAAATGTAGCTTTTAATATTCCTTCATATTAGGTGAGCTTCAATCTCCCTCTTGCCTTACTCATATTTGTACTTAAATGCTGTATTTAGAAAACACATCTAGATCATTAGGGATATATCCTGCTAAAATTTTAGCTATTGTATTTTATATATATATTTATTGCACATATTTTTATATTACCCAGCTTAAAATGACTCCTGGTGGTTTGCAAAGAATAACATCAAAACACATCAAATCACAATAACTACAACAAAATCCAAATTACAGAATATTCATGGTTACCAAATTATCAAACAGCCTTCAAGTGCCTGTTCAAACAAGATTGTTTCAGTGGCCTTCTTGAAAGCTAATAGCAGGGGCATCAGACAGGATGTTCCAAAGGGAGGAGGCCATCAAAAAAGATGCCTTCTTTGTCCCTCTGAATATTAGTAGGGGTAGGATTCTAAGCATCCCCTCTCTGCCTGTAGGTACTAATTGGGCAGATTCTGCTTGGAGAAGATAGTACCCTGGAGTGAAGCCATTTAGTCAAAAGCAGCACTTTGAATTAGACTTGGAAATCTACTGGCAACCAGTGCAGTGAATGAAGGACAAGAGTTACACTTGCACCTGTCAGCATCCTGGCTGCCACATTCTGTATCAGTGATAGCTTTGGATCATTTTCAAATGCAACCCCATGTACAATGTTTATAGTAATCCAAATGTGTGATGATAATGACATGAGTTATTTTCACCAAGAGTTCCTGATTTAGGTGGGCCACAACTATGACATCTAAGATATTAATATGTTAGAGGAGGTTGGAAGCCCTGAAATCTGAATGCATTTAATGATCACATTTGATGAACTGCTTACAGAATGGTGAAGATGCATCTTATTTTGATCCAAATGGTTTGCTGATAAGTGACCAAAGTAAAACGAGTGACTGCATTCTTCAATACTGCTATATAAATTAAAAATATATGCAGTAAAGGTTTATCAGAAAAAAAAAAACCCAGTGGAACTCTTTTTATTCTTATTGACAAATGCCTAATAAAATTTGTTGCTGTTGCTACCTTCAGTCTTATTGAATTAATAAATGTGCAGTGCTGAAGAGTACTTATTTGATCCTCTTAGTATGATTTATTTCCAAGAAACTGTAGTATTCATGTATCATCTTAAAATGCACTACTGAGATCTTTTTTTCCCTGTAGTGAATGAGCTCATCCTTAAACAGAAGCAAAGATTTGAGGAAAAGAGATTCAAATTGGACCATTCAGTGAGTAGCACCGTATGTCCCAATCTTCTTTCTTTCATTTATTTATGGGCTTAAGGGATGGAGTGCATGGTATTCCTATATTCTAAGCATTTGAGAATGTCTGTTTCTTTCACAGACAGCTCAATTAATCTGTGTAAGCAAAGTGTTATTTGGGCTTTTCATTATACAGTGTAACTTATTTGCTATTTAATATAATAAGTTTTTGATCTATGAATATAGATTCAAAACTTTTGTATTTTCCAGTGCAGTCTGTAGTTATTACAACAGGCTATGACAATGAGATAATAGTGAAAGTTATGCTATAGAACACTTAGGTAAGAATATTAGTGACATTAGAGGATCTCAAGTAAGCCTGGTACTACAATTCTGATTCACATAGCCAGTTCTTTTCTATGGTGTTCAAACCCTCTACAGGAGATTGAAATCATAGACCATTGCAGTTCAGATTATTATATAGCACAATGGTTCATGAGTTCAATTCCTAGTATAGATTTGAACCACATAGAAAAGATCTGGTAGTGTCTGACAACTCACATACCGCATCATAGAGGCTAATAAAACTGCAAATATCAGTCAGGATATACACTGTATAAAAACAGAAACCTCCTCCCACAGGAGGGGCGGTTGTCATCGGAAATGATATGAAACCTCATACATGGGGACATATAATCCAGCATCTCTGTCTTTCTGCTTTGAGAGTTTAAGGGAAGGTGGAGTATACAGTGGTACCTCGGGTCACGAAGGCTTCTGTTCATGACCAGTTCGGGTCACGAACAGCACTGTTCGCTAAATTTTGCTTCCGTTCGTGAACTCCACATCAGGTGATGAACAGGATCCGCAGCCATTTTCCCTGCCGTGACACGTGGTCGTGGCTTCC